CAGCCTCCCACTGTGGTTCCTGGTGGAGACCTGGCCAAGGTGCAGCGGGCCGTGTGCATGCTGAGCAACACCACAGCCATTGCTGAGGCCTGGGCTCGCCTGGACCACAAGTTTGATCTGATGTATGCCAAGCGTGCCTTTGTTCACTGGTATGTGGGTGAGGGGATGGAGGAAGGGGAGTTTTCTGAGGCCCGGGAGGACATGGCTGCCCTAGAGAAGGATTATGAGGAGGTTGGAGCAGATAGTGCTGAGGGAGAGGATGAAGGTGAAGAGTATTAATCTGTCTGCTGCAATTTTACACTCCATTGTCTCATCTTACACATTTTTTTTGTGTGTTCTATGGAATGAAGCCCTAAACTGTCAATAAAAATGTTTGCATTCTCAATGTCAATCTGGCTTCTGAATCATGGTAGATACTTGACCCACAAAGACCAATTAAGATGGTACATGAGCCACCTAATTTTTCTTTTACTAGGGATTAAACCCAGGGCCTTTGCACTTAACTACATCCCCAAACTTTAAAAAAAATTTTGGTTGGGCATGGTGGCATATGCCTGTATTCCCAGCACAAGAGGGTCACAAGTTCGAGGCCAGTCTAGACTACATAATATGACCCTGTCTTGAAGAAGGTTTAAATTTTGAGACAAGGTCCTGCTAAGTCACTATTGGAAACAACCCAGGAGGCACTGTCCTGTACCCTAAACCTTTTGGTTTTTTGGTACTGGGGATCAGGCTCAGGACCTTGCACTTGAGCTGGCAGAGTGCCACTGAGCTAAATCCCCTGCCCCCCTCATTTTTTTTCAGACAGGGTTTCGCTCTGTGGCTCAGGCTGTAGCTCAGACCTCAAACGGCTATCCTGCCTCAGCCTCCCTAGTGCTGGGATTACAGGCATGCACCACCGTACCTGCCAGTCCTCTTCCCCCCTGCCCCCGCCAAGATGTACTTAACCTTACTCAGCTGATAATAGAGCAAATAGGTGAATAATCAATCATGCTATAATGTTCGATGAACTGAAAACAAAGTTGGTCCGAGGAAGGCAGAGGAACTTTTTTTTTTTAAATAAGCTCTGGCAAGTTTTATTAATGAAAAATTTTGCATGGTTTATTTTTTGCCAGTCTGTTCTGGCATGCTTCTAATGATATCAGAATCGGGATCAGTGATCACCCGTGTGCATACTCTAGTATTTTCCACATGCTGTGCCCAGTTCGATATTGCCACTGTAGTGATGGACACCAGTTACCTCCATAAATCCCTTTATGTCTGCAAGGTAATCCTTCAATCCTGAAAGCCACTGGATACTTCTGTCCCAATTTCTCAATTTCAGTCATTACACAGTTACACAAGGGGCACCCTTGGCACCCAGACAGTCCCTCATCGATGGTACTAAGACTGGTTTGGCTTTGATGGAAATGTTGATAAAGTTGGTATCAACCAGGATACAAGGTGGGCCCAGCTGTGTGTTATATCGGAAGGAGAGGCAGAATGTTGAGGTCTCCTCTTCAGAGTACTGGGATCTTTCTTTTTAGATTTTAATCTATCCTTTTCTTTTTCTTTTTTTGGTTTTGTTTTGTTTGCTTGTTTTGGTTTGGTTTTTGAGACAGGGTCTCCCTTTGTAGTTTAGGCTGGCTCTGAACTCACTATGTAGCCCAGGCTGGCTTGGAACTATCCCCTGCCTCAGCCTCCGAGTGCTGGGATTATAGGTGGGCATCACTATAGCCACCTAATGATTACTCAGCATTTCCAGTGTACGATCCTCTGCTCCCTGGTTTGTTCATTTAGAACTGAATTGATAGTGGTGACAAAATTATTTAGTGGCTCAGGTACATTGAGTCAGTACTTGAACTAAAATATAGATGAGAATGACCTGTTGACATTAAAGTACAGATTCTAATTCTCTAGGTCCAGGCTGCGCTTCAAACGTTTTATTAGTTATGTGAGAAGGGCTTGTAAATGTTGCTTATTCCACACTTACAGAAAGCCAAATACTGCACTAAAGGAGTTACTATCTAGAGAAAGCAGAGCTGGCTGACAGAAGAACAATAGTCACAGCTTGATATGGTATTGGTGCTTGACCCGATATATGTTATGGAGCATTTAGTGTAAGGAAAATGGAATGTGTGTGTAGGAGAGACGGGAGAGCGGAGAGTTCCCTAATTTGAACCTACAGCTAAGCACCTGTTGGAAGCAGTGTGATTCTAGAGGCCAGAGGGGTGACACGTGGGTGTGGCTGGCCAGAGAGCTTGGTGAGAGCTATCTGTGTGCAGTGGTGAGGTCTGGAAGTGAGTGAGCGGTGGCAAAGGACAGTGAGCGAGGGATGGAGCTGATGCCCAGCTGCTTCCTGGGTGAGAATGCCTAACACTGCAGGGGCACGGGCGGGAGTGGAGAGGCATTCACCCTGGCTCCACGACTTACCATATTCCCGTTACCTGGTTACCTTCTCTCCCACTGGTGTTTTTTGCACTTACCATCCAAAGGGGCTGTAGCTCAGCACACCCTGGGTTCAATCACCAGTGTCACCAAAAACATTTTTTTAATTGTTCCACAAAAAAATTGTTCCTACGAGCATAAGTGGCAAACTTTTACAGCCTGGGATCAACTGTGTGCTCAGAACATTTTTCATAGGATTCCTGTGACAACATCTGGCTTTCGGCGAAACCACTGAGCTAAATCCCCAGCCCCAACATCTGGCTTTTATGCTCCCTGCTAACCCCCATCCCTAAACACAAATTAACCAACCTCTTGCTATTTGCCAGGTGGGCGGGGCTGTTCTTGAGCTGGGGGTAGAGTGAGGGCTGGGATGAAACCTTGGAGAGGTGGCCAGCCCACCAGAGGGGCTCCTGGAGTCCCCACCCACCCCAGGTCTGTTAGCCACAGTGCAAGCATTGTCCCAAGTATGAGAAGGAGCAGGAAAGTCCTGCAGCTGCAGCTGAGTGTGACAGCCCACCATATCTGAAAGGGTGTGTGTGTGTGTGTGTGTGTGTGTGTGTGTGTGTGTGTGTGTGTGCTTTCTTGAGACAGGGTATCCCTGTGTAGTTCAGGCTGGCCTTCTCACACTGGCAACTATCCTCCAGCCTCAGCCTCCCCAGTGATGGGGCTACAGGCATGCACCAGCACTCGAGGCTGAGGGCCATTTCTCTAAGCCAATGTTTCCCGAGTAGGGTGCCCTGAAAATGGGACTGAGGGTGCCCACATGTGATCCTCTCAGAATGACTCAGACAACCTGAAGCCCCTGGCTAGGAGCAGCCCCCTCCGACTTCTTCAGTAAGCCTTGCTGATGAGAATTATTTTATAAATGTGCCAAGATGTAGAAAGAGTTGGAAAGCTTTCAGCAGCCACAATGGTATGGGGTGAGAAAAGGTGAGAGAAACATTTAGCTGAGAAAAATATATTCCAGTAGAGTAAAGCCTGGGGAATTGGAAGAGCAAAGTGCCAGTGGTTGGGAAAGGATCTGTCCTTGTAAAGATATTTCCCCTCCTGTGTGGGCTGGAGAGTGAATAGAAGTTAGCCTGCAGCAAGAACAAATATACCCCAAGGTCTAGGTCATCACTTTGTGGTTGACAATCATCTGATCTGCCCTTGAGCACAAATGGAAAATCTGGACTCTAACTGAGACTGATAGAGGTATATGCACACAGCCTGAGAAGGTACTGGCTTGGGCCAGGAGTTTAGCTCAGTGGTTCCGCAGCCTGCCTCACAAGTGCAAGGTCCTGAGTTCCATCCCTGGTACCAAAAAAAAAACAAACCAAGAAGGTAGTGGGACTTGGGGCTGCCTGTGGGCCGAGATTCTGGCTGCTCAACAGAGGGCTTCCTCCCTGTCCTGCCCAGCATGGTTGCTGCTGGCCATGGAAGGGATCTGGGCTTAGGCAGGGCTGTTTTGAGCTGGTGTGGGAGGTGGAGCACAGAGCCCGCCTGCCTGTGGTTCCAAGTGTCTGGGAAGCAGGTGGCAAATGCCTGTGCACCAGCGGGGATCTGTCAGGCCAGGAGGCCAGCAAGTGGGTTAGAAACTTTAAAAAGAACCTAAACATCCAGATTGGAGCAAGCACTAACTTCTCTGGAAGGTTGTGTGGCAGCCCTGAGTGGGGCTGTTGGAGGAAGGGATGCATTCATGGCCCTGTGAGGGACGTTGTTATGCCCTTGCCAGAGCAAGCGGTGGAAGTAAAATGTGACCCCAGAACACTGACTCCACGGTGACTTCTGTGCTTCCCCAGGGAGAGTCATCACTTGTGCTTGGCAGCCTCACCAGGCCAGGGGCGAGAGGCCCACAGAGGCCAGCTCCCCCCGGAGAACTGGAGGGGGCACAGCCATGGAGAAGGGAGAACTGCAACCTCGTGCCCCAGGTCAGTGCACTCCCAGGACCTAGGTGGAGCACATGATCCAGAGGGGCAATGCCAGTGGCTCCACTTCATCTCAGCCCATGTGTCACTGCTGAGGGGTATCTTTGCCCAGGGCCCCTGAATCTCAGAAAATCAACTTTCAGACCCTGGGAAGGTATGGTGTCCTAGCAGGTCAGCTACTGCCACCTGCCCAGACTCTTGCTGACCAGAAAGCAACAGATGTGCAGACAGGACAGCTCCCACCTGGAGCACAGCCTTCCTGCCCAGGCACTGGGGCAGGACAGCCACTGCCTGTCAGCCGAGACCACAAGGTGACACTGGGGAGATGACCCAGGCAGATGGCTTCTGGGTGGTTGTCTAGGAGACACGGCAGCCAAAGCTGAAAGGAAGACAGCCTTGTGTGTGTGTGTGTGTGTGTGTGTGTGTGTGTGTATGTGTGTGTGTGTGGCCCTCCGCCCTGAGAGATGGTCCCTGTTGCTGATATCTCATTAGCCTGTCATTGCCCCTTGATTACAAGAGCCTGGTTTTTCTGAGACAATGGTTCTTCCCCCTAACACTCCTTAAGTCTGCAACACAAAAGAAATATTTAGAATCAATGAACCTTATAAAACTGGACATGTCTGTTTTAGTCATAACACAGAACAAATTTTTTTGTTGTTCTTGCAGTACTGGGGATTGAACCCAGGACCTGTGCACTGAACTACACCCCGAACACTTTTTATTTTGAGACAGGGACTCTCTAAATTGCTAAGTTGCTCAGACTGGGCTCAAACTTGTGATCCTCCTGCCTCAGCCTCCCAGAGTGCAGGGACTTCAGGTGTGTGCCACTAGTCTGGTTTCAGAAAATACTTTTTAGACATTTGTCTCGCCACCAATATTCTTTTTTTTGTTTGGTACCGGGGATCAAACTCAGGATCTTGCGCTTGCGAAGCCAGCGGCGGCATC